CTGGAGAGATTATATCTCTCGGCTGGCCTGGGAACGCCTTGGTATTCCCCCGGATAAGCTGGAGGAGGTGGCTGGGGAGAGGGAGGTCTGGGCCTCTCTGCTTAGGCTGCTGCCCCCGCGACCCGACCCCGGACAAAGCGGATGAAGATGGATGGATGGATGGACATCATCATCATCATTTATTTATATGGCACTTTAAAAACACACCTGGTAGACCAAAGTGCTGTACAATAGAAATATAAATATAGTAATAAAATAGAAAAAACAGACAAGTATGTGTATGTGATGCAAAAGGTAAAATTAAAAACAAGGCTAGAATGTGTGAACGTTAACTTTGAGTTCTACAACTAGGAGCAAAATGCTTTGAACATGGACTACGGTAGTCCATACTCGAGGGAACAGTAACATGATCTGTGGCTGCCGGAGCTTGGCAAGTGAAACAGTGGTGTGAGAGTTGATGGTGGAGCGGCAATGTGACATTTTTGTGTTGTTACCTTACGTGTGCCGCTACGGGTCACCTTTTGTGTTTTTACGTATGGTGTGTTTATGGAAATGTATTTAAGATAAACGTAACTCAAGCCAGGTGTTTTTGGTCAGAACAAGCAAACGGTTTGTAAACTCTGCACTGTTATGATAAATGACATTGGATAAAGAGAAGCAAATAAAACTGATGAATACAAAAACAATCTTAACTGTACAACACAAGCATAGCTTGAGTTGTTACAAGTTTAATTCATAACAGTTACATTGCCTCATCCCTGCCATCAAACACTTCAGTGGCTTCAAGTGTAGACATAGCCTCTACAGGTACTGCAACAGAGGGAGAGCAGAGTCAGGAGGGTCTTGGAAGAAGTTCAGAAAAGATCCAAAGAGGCAGTCTGAACAGTCTTACTTGTTTGCAGGTGGAGTAATGCACGAATGGATAAAAAAGAGTGAGAAGTTATCAGCTGTTTAGGAGCAAATGGAGATCCGTGTCCAGGGGAGTGAGGCTATTGCGAGTGTGAAAGGTTGTCCAGGAAGTAACTAAGAAGACATGCACAGAGAGGTAAGTACTAGAGCTTTGAGCAACGTGAGGCCAATAACTAACATAGGTTAACAGATAATATGGCAAAGACTGGTTGTGAACGGTGGTCTTAAATACAGCTGGCTTGATTTGTCTCAGGTGGTGATCCTCAGAGGAGTGATGAAGTAGAGCAGGCAGCACCCAGAGTAGAGCAGGCACTGTGGAAAAATAGTTGTGACTCAACCAGACCATTACAAAGTATGGCCTGGAGGATTTTCAAGAACATTCTTAATGACTGTACACAGTGACTGCTGATGGACGACGTTGGGCCAGATGTGCTACAGTTAGCGTTAAGGAGGTATGATCAAAGCAAGATCAAAAACATTTAACATTTAAACTTGCATAAAATGTTTAAGGGGAATATGGCCTGAAAATATAACATGAATTATCAATCAATCAAAGCTTTATTCGTCACATGCAGGTTGCCCTGCAGTGAAATGGGACCCTCCCCCCCCCCGACCTTACACATATAGCACAAACATTACATGGGGATACAGGTCGGAGATTGGTAGAATCAGAGAAAAAAACATTGAAATGTACACTACAGTGGGGAAAGTGCAAGAGGAAAAAAGAGACCCCTACTCATGCTGTGCTTCCATGGTAGGACAGCATGAGAACAGGAAACAAAAAAACTCCTTTGCACAAAAAAGCACATAAATGTCCACAGCACAACATTGTGAAGACATGACAAGCCACAGGGGTGGGTGGGGGGTGAGGAGTAATCCGAAGCGAACACAGCAGCCGCCCTGCACAGCGCTACCATTCCAGCGCGGCACACAGACCCGCCGTGTTCCCTCGCAGGAAACAAGCATCGAAGGCGTTGGAAGGGGAGGGGGATGAGTGAGTGCCTATCAGTGTAAGTGTGTGTGTGTGCGTGTCCATAGTTCAGCTGAGACAGTGTCCTTCGGCCTATCAGGCTAAGTAAACAGTCCTCCAGCCAATCCAGGTGTCCTTGCATGGGACGGGAAGAATAGCCGTAACACAGTCGTTATCAGGGAGTGATTGTTCGGCTCCAGCCTTGGGCCTGCAGCTGGCGCGTTATGGGGGTCCGCAATGTTCATGTTGATTTTGTTAATTTCCATGCGAGCAGCCCAGGAGAATTTTCAGGCTGCCCTAACACTCCGACACTGGCCTCTCGATCTCCCGTTGGAGAGCCGCGAGCCTCCCCATGATGGTATCAAACTTCTGTTCCATGGTGTTATCGTTCTTTTGATTCTGAGACCTCACAACTGCAGTGATCCGTTTCACGATGTTTTCCAACTGTCGCTCAAAGGGTCTCATTTTGAGCAGGCCTCTCTCTGATGTTTCCCCTCATACGCTCAATGGTGTTGTTTTGAGCCTTCACAGCAGCTGCAAGCGTCTCCAAGGTGTTGACCATATTACGTTCGTTGTGAGAGGTTGCGCCTCGTTCCATTTCGATTCCAGCGGGCAGCCTTGGGGGGGTTTGAACAGCCGGTTCCGCTCTCTTATTTCTCCGATAAACCAGGGCTAAGCCAACTCCGATCAGCATGAACCCTGTTATCATGGTTCCGAATAGATAGATATCTTCAGCGTCCTCGATCGACAGTCCCGCCAGGCACATGACCCTCCAGTTCTGCCACCCGTCCATCGTGTATCCGGCAGGGAAAGTCCCTCCAGGGCACTCGGGCTCTCCCGAGCCCAGACTTCTCGTTGAGAAAAGAGTGTCAATAGCATTCAGAGACCAGTTGATCAAATCCATAATTCTCTTTTAGGTTTAGAGAACGACAGTGGGAGCTGTTCCAGGGAAAGTAATCACACATGAGACAAGCAAGGACATCAAGAGGCTAAGCAGGGAAGATAAGGGTGAGGAGGAGAGGAGAAAAGTGCGACCGCCTTCGCTGAGAGCTGAAGAATAACATGAATTAAGAAGTAATTTTTTGATATCTTTGAGGTTGGAGACAATGCAGAGAAGCCTTCAGTGGGCAAGAGGAAGACTGATCAATGTAACTGCAGCAGATCAACTTCTGCGTGACTTGGCTGAATTGATTCAGGAGGTCGAACTGTCTACTCAGCATGGCCAACAAGGTAAGCACATATTGTGTCGATTCCTTGACTCATCAAAAGTGTGAAATAAATTATGACTCTGTCTTAACCTATTTTCCAAATACACCAAACGCTGATATATTTTCAGGCTGTTTTGGATACCAGGCACCAGTGGTTTTCCACAGAGAGGTAGATCCCTTTACCTTATCACTCGGGAACAGCTTTCATTCCTGAAGTCATGTGGATTCACTGCACCTCAGAAGGCTGATATTTTGAATGTTTCACTTCGTACAATTCGAAGACGTCTGCGGTCAGTGACTTTTGAAACCAGTGTGACTTTCAGTTCTTTGTGACACACACTCACTGTTTATTCAAATGAAATGGTATTGTGAGATTGTAAAAATTAGTATATTTGAATGTGCACCACTAGTCAAGTAATGAAGTGTGTTGTTATGGCAGTGATAAAATACTCATGTTTTTTTGTCTGATTTCAGACAGTATCATTTCACCCGTGCATCAATGTATGCGGAACTGACTGACAGTGCCTTGGATGAACATGTGCAGGACATTGTTGCTGGCAATGAACAAATTGGTCCTGAAGCTGTCAGAGCCTCCCTGCGAGTACGTGGACTACGTGTACAGCGAAGGAGGGTTCGAGCAAGCATGTTACGGATAAATCCTGGAGCAGCTGCCCTTAGAGCATTCTTGCGGAGACCAGAACGAAGAACATATCAGGTTGCAGGTCCAAACTCATTGTGGCACATTGATAGAAATCACAAGCTGATAAGGTAACCAACCACACGGATTTGTTGAACACCTATTTTGACCAAAGTGAAATTCAGTATTACATCAAATATAATTGTTGATCAGTAAGACACGTCCAATAGAGCCAGGCCCTGGGATGGGCAGCCCTCTAACACAACTGGTTATGTTTAAAGGGGAAGATCAGAGAACACAGAGAGCGCAAGCAACATATAGAGAAAAATTCAAACTTGACATGTAAATCAATTAAGAGTGTGTTTTCCATTGTTTCATTAACAAAGCAGAAATAATATTTTTCTTCTTATGGACCACGGTTTTAGGTGGAGGATAGTCGTTCATGGGGCTATTGATGGATACAGTCATCTTGTGGTCTTCCTTCATGCCTCAAACAACAACCATAGCAGTACCGTTTTGTCAAGTTTCATCAGAGCTGTGGTATCCTATGGTGTACCCTCGAGGGTTTGGACAGACAGAGGAGGGGAAAACAATGCTGTCTGCCTGATGATGAACATTTTCAGAGGCTTTAATCGTGGAAATGCCCTAAGTGGAAGGAGTACCCATAATCAGAGAATTGAGAGGCTCTGGGGTGATCTGTGGCGAGGAATGACCAATGTGTACTGTCACTTGGTGTTCGCTCACTCTGTGGTAGAGTATCACTTCCTGTTCCTGCTCAAACACAGT